TGCCCACTCCTCGGTGGGGAAGTGAGGAGCCCCGTTCAGAGGCAGGGGAGGGGAGAGCAGTAGCTGGTGGGGGTGGGGGCAGGAGGCTGGATGGGGGTGCAGGGCTGGAGTGGGTGGGGCACCCTGAGAGCCCAAGCTAGGGAGGAAGCCATCGGCTAGCTCTCCCACCCTTTCCCGCTGCAGAAGCCGACCCCACCCCCACCTCACACACCCACCTGGGCCCGGAGAGTCGTGGGCGGGGGTCTCCTCCACTGGGATGGAGAGGGGGTGGGATGAAGAGGGGGTGGGATGAAGAGGGGGTGGGATGGAGAGGGGGTGGGATGGAGAGGGGGTGGGATGGAGAGGGGGTGGGATGAAGAGGGGGTGGGATGGAGAGGTGAGATGGGGAGGGGGTGAGATGAGGAGGGGGTGGGATGGAGAGGTGAGATGGGGAGGGGGTGGGATGAAGAGGGGGTGGGATGAAGAGGGGGTGGGATGGAGAGGTGAGATGGGGAGGGGGTGAGATGGGGAGGGGGTGAGATGAGGAGGGGGTGACCTGGGAGCGGACCTGGGACCGGAGTGGCCGGGGACACAGGCACCTGCCCTCCCAGCCGGCCCTGCCCACAGCCAGCAGCCAGCTCAGCAGGCGCCGCCGCCACAGCCCTGCCATGCGCTTTGAGCTGGGAACCACAATGCACCCCTTTTCCCAGAGCCCCCCAACTCCAGCCCCTTCTCTTTCACGCGATGAGCAGCGTTGCTTTGCTGCACCCCAAAAATCCAAACCTGGGGGGCCGGCTGGGGGCTGTCAGGCTCCAAGGCGAAGGACCCCATTCGAACAGTCCATCCACCGCAGCCTCCCCCTCTCCCCTCCCCTCGCCCCGGTCACACCGGCTCCGGGCGCCCAGCCCCGCGAGGCCCGGGCGGCAGCCGGGGCCGGGCCCCCCCCCCCGGGCGGGCGGAGCGCGGCGGCCGCGGGGCTGCGGGGGCGCCCGCCCAGCCCGCCCGCCCCTGGGCGGGTGTCTCCGCAGACAATGGCTCCGCGGCGGCGCCTCGCCGACCGGAGGGAGGAAAACAGGCAGGAGGTGGGCGGCGGCGCGGAGCCGGGGACCCGCCCGCCCCATTGTGTCTCCCGGAGACCCCCTCCCGGAGGTGCTCTGCCCCCGCAGGCTCCGGACCCGGGGCGCCCTCCACCCACCCAAACCGGGAGCCGCACGGCCCGATCCGCGAGCGCCGCCCAGAGGGGCCCGGCGGGGCGGGGGTGGGGCGGGGGCCGGCGGGCGATCGCGCCCCTCCCGGCCGGACTCACCCTGCGGGCTGGGGGGCTCCGGCGGCGACTTGCCGGGCGCCCGGGAGGCGCCGCCGAGCAGCAGTCCCAGCAGCGGGAGCAGCCGCGCGAGGACGCCGGGGCCGCTCGGCGGCGGCATCGCGGGGCTCGGCCCGGCCCTAGCGGCCCATGGCTCCCGCCGGCCCCGCTCGGCCGGCCCCGCGCAGCCCCGGCCCGGCGCGGCTCGGGCTCCCGCTCTGGCTGCGGCGGCCGCTCCGGCGATTGTCTCCGCCCGGAGCCCCCGCCAGCGCCCCCTGCCGGCGGCGCCCCGCCCGACGGTCCTCCGGCACCGCCCCCTGCGCCCCCTCCGCCGCCTCCCGCGGGCTCAGCCCGCCCGCAGCTCCCACCCTGCGCTGCAGACCCGGAGCCGCAAGGGAGAGCATCGAAGGGGGTCCAGTCTCCAGGGCGCTTGAAGTTCCAGAGTTCCCGAAATTTGGTGCATTTTTTTGGGGGGGGGACGGGAGGAGGGGATGGCTATTGCTTGCAACACACTCAGATAGGTGAGTACCATGGTCATGAGCGTCTCCAGAAAGTGTAAGAACTGCCTGCTTTACTGCTCCCACTCCGCACAGGCATCCCCGCAGGGCGGGGGAGAGAGGGCGCAGGCCCCTGGGAATCCGTCCACTTCTTGTCTGGCTCTTGTCTGCTCTTAAGCTGTTTGCAAGTTACTTAGCCTTCCTTTAAAGTGAGATTGTTCTCTGGCGGGTTTGGCCTGAGGACTCACGGGTCCCCGGTTCGATTCCCGTCAAGGGCATGTACCTTACTTGTGGCCACATCCCCAGTGAGGGGTATGCAGGAGGCAGCTGATTGATGTTTCTCTCCCATGGATGTTACTGACTCTCTATCCCTCTCCCTTCCTCTCTGTAAAAAGATCAATAAAAAATATTTATCGATACTAAACTAAATCAGGATAAATATATTAGCTCTCCAAAACAAAATAATCATCTGCAGTCCACTACTAAGAGTAAACACAGCTGGCCCTAAAATATATAAAATAAAGTGAGTGGCAAAGTAAAGGATCTAGCACATATCTGACCAGCCAGGTGCTACTGTATATCCAGGTAATAAGGGCTGTCCTAACGGTTAGGAGGTTCTAGGGGTGGAGAATGAGAGGTGCCAATGAGAATCGCCGGCCGGTCTCACTGGTTGTGCTTCACGAATGACGGTCTGAGTCTTTTCCTTCTTCCTCAGCCCTGGCACCCCACCTTGGAAGGGAGCTATTGGCCGGCCCTCTTGCCCCAGCCAAGCTCTCTTTCCTCCGGTTTCTGATGGTCACCATCACTCAGTGTCTGGGTGGCCGAATCCTCATCTAAGGTGGTATCCCTCTCCTGGTTCTCTCTGGCTTGTTGCCTTTTCTTTCTCAAAATGTGGTGCCCTGCTGGGGACTGGAGACCCAGAACGAGGACCTCAGGAGCATGGGCGTCTCTGCTGGTGCTTCTCTCCTGGTTGGGCCTTCTGAAGTAAGGGGACCTTGTTTTGAGACTGTGGAAGAAACAACCGAATTTTCCCTCCCTCCCTCCCTCCCTCCCTCCCGTCTTTCTTCCTTTCCTTTCCCCTCTCATAAATTTCCATCTAACCAGATTTCCCAGTTCCCATTCTTATGTAACCAAACAGTTGGAACCTCACACAGGATTTAGCTGTGAATTTCCCCAGTGCGTTTCATCTTGTTGGTTCTGACCCAACTTTACAATCTGTCAGGGCCGCCTGCCTCCGCCTCAGTCACCCATCGCATGGCGCCCGCTCTCGGCCAGCAGCCACCTGCAGGGTGAAGGGACTGACACACCGAGCAGCCCAGGGCTAGGAGGGAGCTTTGGGACACCCCCATCGAGACATCACCCGTCAGCTTTATCAAAACCGTCCAGTTTTCAATCCGAGTCTCTGTCGTCCGGCTCACATTGCTGTCTTGTGTATCTGAAGACAAACGCCAAATGCTCTGCTGGATCAAGATAAACCGTCTGGGGCCATCCAATGGCCATGGCAGAGGGACTGGAACTTGGCTGGTGCTCAAGGACCTCGGCTTAATCTTTTCCTAAGTGTTCAGTCACCCAGCTAGGAACCTATTCTGAAACTCGCCATGCATGGATGTCCAGTGGTTCCGTTCTGTTCAGAATCTGCCTTTTCCCTGTTGGGAGCAGCACCTGTGAGGTAAGCCTGTCCTGTCCGCTAATGGCTTCCCCTAACACTAAGCACCAAGTCCGAAGTTCTCTCCTGGGTCACAGGGGCTGCCTGGCTGCCCCCACCACTGACCCCACCTCCGGGTTCCTCACCTGCCTCCTGCCCACCGGCCTCCTTGCTTTTCCGTGAACACATCAAGCCTGCTCCCACTCAGGGCCTTCCGCTGGCTGCTCTTTCTGTCCAGGGCCCTTTATTTCCCATAGCCGCCTGGCTCCTTCATTCACGTCTCTGCTCACCTCTTGCGAGGGGCCTTTCCTGACATTCTGCCTATAAAGTCAGCCTGCTCCCAGCACCCACGTAATCCTATCACCAGCTCCCTATCTTTTTTTCATTATTATTATTTTATTAATTTTTTACAGAGAGGAAGAGAGAGGGATAGAGAGTTAGAAACATCGATGAGAGAGAAACATCCATCAGCTGCCTCTTGCACACCCCCTACTGGGGATGTGCCCGCAACCAAGGTACATGCCCTCAGCCAGAATCGAACCTGGGACCTTTCAGTCCGCAGGCCAACACTCTATCCATTGAGCCAAACTGGTTTCAGCACTAGTTTATTTTTATTTTTTAAAATCTTTAAAAATCTTTTTTTATTTTTATCATTATTTTTATTTTTATTCCTATCACTAACCACCACTGACCATACATGTATTTATTTGTCTGTTTATGTACTAGAGGCCCAGTGCATGAAATCTGTGCACAGCAGGGTCCCTAGCGGCTGCTGGCTGCCAGCCTTGGGGGAGGGGCTGTGGGCGGTTGGCCGGCTGGTCCTGCCCTCTGGTCGAACTCCTGGTCCCGGGGACAATTTGCATATTAGTCTTTTATTATATAGGATTTCTCTCTCTTTGCCCCTGATTAGATGGAAGTCCCGTGAGGGCAGGGACTTTTCTGTTGTTCCCTGTTCCATCCCAGCACTGGGAAGGTGCCAGGCACGTAGTAGGTGCTCAATAAATATTTATTGGACACATGAATCCACAAGTCTCTCCGGGTTCCAGGTGGATCCCCCACCACTACTTCCTGCTCCAATCTCAGTGCCCTCCCCTCCTGGCCCTCCGGGGTCTTCCTGCCTGGCGCCTATTTCCTAACTTCTCCTTGGTGGGGGAGAAGAAACTGTCACTGCCTTCCTCAGGAGGAGAGCTTAGCTTCCCTCTCTGCCCCTTCTCGCTCTGAATACAGCTTTAAAGGCTTTTTAAAAAAATGGGAGCTGGGGAGAACATGCTCTTTTCGTGATGTTTCTCTCTCCAAAATCATAAAATAATGTTTAAAGCTGCCCACCAGGGACCCTGCCTGCCGACTGTGCCATCCTCCCCGCCATCCTCAAACACCTCCATCCCCTCCGGGCTCACCTGGAGGCACTGCCCCCCCCCTCCCTTGTCCCACCCCCACGTTTACCCCCTGACCCCCCTCAAAGACAGTCATCTGCCCTTTGCCCTCACAGATGCCGTCTGCTCACGTCTAGCAGCCCCAGGTTCCCTCTCCTCCCCTAACCCCCAAAGGAAGCACACACTGGGGTGGGGCTCAGCGCTTTATTTGGCAGCAAGAAAGGAGGTGGCCCAGCTCTGCTGGGAGCCTCCATGGAGCAGCTCCAGCCTGCGGGCGAGCAGAGCTGGGGGCCTCTGAGAAGGGGCAGAGCAGGCATCACGGCCGCCTTCCTGCAGGACAACGCCTGGTGCACCGTCACTCCTCCTCTTCATCGTCTTCCTCCAGCGGGGGCCGATTCCGCTTGAAGAAGCCAGCCTGGGGGAGCACAGGGCCAGGGCCAGGTCACAGGGATGACCCTGGCCCCAGGGCAGCACTGGAAGAAGCAATTGTGCGAGCAGCCAGCCAGCCAGGCGGTCCCCCCGGACCGGCACAAAACACGGACCGGCTGTTTGCACAAACGAAGGCCTTTCCCCATTTAGGGATAATAGATGTAACCATTTACTTTTTCTTCCCTGAATTTTTCTTAAATACTGAAGGTTGTATTGTCTCTAGATGACTCAAGTGCATGAAGATACATACTTATTTTATTATAAGTCTAAAGTGTGGTTTTCCCTAAGAGCACCATGTTTCCCAGGGCGTGGCACCTGAGTGAGCTTGAGACCAGCCCACTGGTTCTCCAGGCACAGAGGAGAGAGGGGCCCGCAGGCCTCAGAGGAGCAGGGAGCAGGGGGCAGGTCTGGGTCAGACCTGACAAAGGGCAGGGGGAGGCGAACCCTGTCCTCCACAGCAGCCAGGGAGCCCCTGGAGGCAGGACTCCTTCCCAGACTTCCTCGCAGGGGCGAGGGGTCTAAAGGACTTGGAACCCCAGGTGCCACCTCCTCCCGGAGTCTGTCCCTCCCGGGAAGAGGTCCTCTGGAGAATGAGTCTAGTAACGGAGATGCAGCCCTAGCCAGTTTGACTCCGTGGCTAGAGCGTCGGCCTGTGGGCTGAAGGGTCTTTGGGTTTGACTCCTGACAAGGACACATGCCCGGGTTGTGGGCTCGATCCCCAGGAGGGGGCATGCAGGAGGCAGCTGATCAATGATTCTCTCTCATCATTGATGTTTCTATCTCCCTCTCCCTTCCTCTCTGAAATAAAATATATTTACAAATAATAATGGAGATGTAGATCAGTTGGCCTCTCTCGGCCTCCCTGGGTGGGTGGGTGGGCAGGGCCACGTCTGTGCCCATCAGGAACCCTCCCTCCCTCTGCCTCACCTTCCACATGGCCAGGACCAGGAGTGTGAGCAGCAGCAGGCCGCTCAGCACGCCGACCAGCACCCACCAGAGCGGAATGTCCCGCTCCTCCAAGGCCCGAAGCAGCTGCGTCTTGACCTGAGGACACACCGGCGTGTGTCCTCAGTCACCGTGTGTCCTCAGTCACCTGGACACCTGCCTCTCCCCAAAACCCAAACCCGTGGGGTGGGGACCCCTAGCCCAGCCACCTACCAGTCTGACCCTTCAGACCCAGGCGGCCCCGCCCTCCTCCGCCGGAAGGACACGGATGGCCAGTGGGTCCTGTCCTACAGGACTCCCCTCCCTGACAGCACTCTGCCACACTCACCAGGGCTTCCCCGCGGGGCAGGCGGAGGGCGGGCACGGTGTAGGGCAGGGAGGAGACATTGAACCAGGCCTGCGACTGCAGCACAAACTGATCCAGCGGCCTCTGGATGGGGTGGGGGAGCCATTCACACAGGCCTATTGGGTGCAGGAGTCCCAGCTCCTGACCCCCCAACCCGGGGAGCCTGCCCCTGCCCTAATCCCATCCCCTTCAAATTAAACCGTCCCCGCCCCCGCCAATGGACAATTAATAAAAAATAAAAAATAAAAAGAAAGAAAAGAAAAGAAAACAAAGTAAACCTGGTCTTTACTTTCCTCCCGCGCCCAAAGCCCCGCCTCTCCGCAAAGCTTGCTCAGGCCCCGCCCCAGAAGACCCCGCCCCAGAAGGCCCCGCCCCAGCGCCACGCCCACCTGGCGGAGGCTGGGCAGCCACAGGACGGCGTGCACCGTGACCATGGCTCGCTGCCCGCGCTCCATCTCCTGCAGCTCACACTGCACCACGGTGCAGGGCGCCGAGTCACAGCTCTGCGGGAGTGATTAATTAGTTAGATGGGCGCCGCCTGACCTGGCACTCCCCCACCCCAAGGACCCGGCACAGAGCGGGTGGGGAAGCGGAGTGTGGGTGCATGTGTGGGAGGGGCGGTCAGGGAGCTTGGGCCTCCCCTCAGGAAGGGCCTCAGATCCAAACTCCAGACGTTCTCTCTGGATGGAGTTGTTCCCAGGGCCTCCAGGGGGGGGCGGAAGAGGTGGGCCACCGCACAGTATTCAATACCCGGGACTTTTGGCGGGTATTCATTCGTGTGAGTGTGCTGGGACTCCTTAGCTCAGGGGCCCAGTTATAGGGGACGGTTAGGTTCAGGGCCTCAGGTCTGGTAGGGTTAAAGAAATGCCAGTCTCCCCGCCCCGCCCCGCCCCAGACAGAGACCAGCACAAACGGACAGTAGTGGCCAGCCAGAGGCCCACATCACTCGCAGGCCTCTCTGCCTCCCATCCCCTCAACCCCGGGGCTCCAGGGAGAGGAGACCCCACTGGGAGACCGCAGAGCCTGCTCACCACAAGAACTGGATCCTGAAGCCTGGATGGCTGCTTGGATCCTGACAGGAAGGCCTGCCTGCGCTCCCGCTTGTGGTGGCCCCGGGAAACGGGGGAAGGAGCTGGGGTGGGCACCCCCAAGTCCAGCTGGGGAGGCAGAGAAGCTGTCAGGTCCCACCCTCTGCCCGACTCCCCCGGGTTGATGGGCTGGGACCCCCCCCACAGCCCCTTCTTCCACCCAGGCTCACCTTGAGGGGGTTGGGAGAGGGCTGTGGGGTGCACTGAAGCCCCCCCTGAGGCTGTATGTCCAGGATGTAGAGCAGGTCGGAGGCCCGGGACTGGCCAGGGAGGTGGATGCTGAGGTGGAGGCCGCTGACAGAGCTCGGGCCGTTGTTGTGGAGCTGGTGGGGGCGGTAGAATAGTAGGTGGCTCAGGGCCTGGCCTGTAATTCCGGGGACCCTCCCCCCCAGCCCGGGCCCAGGGCTCCTCCCTACCTCATAGGTGTGCTCCACTTTGGGGCCCCGGGTGTCTGAGACGTTCTCCCTGTTGCCTTCTTCTGCCGCCACCACCAGGAAGGCTGGGAAGGAGCTCCTGCAGGGGCCCAGGCTCCCGGCGTAAGCGTGAGCCCCTGACGTGCTGCGGGAGTCCCCCCAGGACCCCTCAAACCCCGGGCTCTGCCTGCCTCTCCCTTTTCCTCCCCAGGCCTCTCACCCTCGAAGCTCCACATGGGCGTCCGCACGGACAGGCACATCCAGCGGCAGGACCTCGCTGTTCGGATTCTGGCTGTTCTTGCTGGGGGGAGAGGGGGCGAGGAGAGGCGGGTCAGGGACACCAGCCCGGGAACCTCAGAACTCTCCGGGGGCGGGGGCGAATTTCGGGGGGCTGAGGAAGACCTAACTCTTTTTTTTTTTTTTTTTTTACCACTCAAAGCTTTGACCTGGAAAAGAACTTCTCTTTGGGGCTCCACGACTCAGAAACAAGTCTCGGCGGAAGAAAGGGAATAGGAAAGTCTGAAGAGCCGGCCACCCAGAAGACCCTTCTGCACGGAGGTTGCCTGAGTGTCTCCGCATCCGGCGCTCCCGGCCCGTACCTCCTGATCTGCAGCCAGAAGGACACGTGCTCCCCAGCCTCTTCCAGGTTCTCCACGCTCACCAGCATGGTGATTCCTATCTGAGAGACCGGGAGGGCCAGTCACCGCCCAAAGGCCCCCTCTGGGCACGGAGTGTGGCCTCCAGGCCTCCTCCGCCACGGCCACCATCAGGATCTCCGTTTTACTCAGAGCCCACTCCTCCAGGATGGCACGGCCAGGGAGTGTGAGGACCAGGACCCGGCCCGGGCTGATTCCAAACCCGGCACTGACACCGGCTGTGGTGGAGGCCCTGGCGGAGGAGCCCGGCGTCCAGGACTCAGCAGCTCACCCGGGCGTTCCTCTTCATGGGGTTGCCCAGCTCGCACAGCACCACCTTGGTCTCGTTCTCCTTCTTCTGGTTGCAGACCAGCCTCTCAAAGCCCTGCCAGTGGGTAGTTCCAAGAAAGGGTTTGGTTACAGAGCAGCCCCAACGAACGGAAGCTCCTCGGAGAGTCTGGGAAAGACTGTGCCAGGGCGGGGGGGGGGCTCTAGGGATGGGGCACGAGGGACTGTTACATTCTGCTTACGTAGCACTCTAGCACGTTATCATTCTTTATGATTTTTTGGTAGTCACACCCACTAAACGTTAGACTATGATGCCATTGTTAGAAACGACCTCAACAAAATAAAGAAATATGTGGCTCTGGCCAGGTAGCTCAGTTGGTTAGAGCGTCCTCATGTCACACCAAGGTTTCGGGTTTGATCCCTGGTCAGGTCACATACAAGAATAGACCAACGGGCCCTCGCCGGTTTAGCTCAGTGGACGGAGCATCCGCCTGCAGACTTAAGGGTCCCGGGTTTACTTCAGGTCAAAGGCACATGCCCGGGCTGTAGGCTCGATCGGATATTTCTTGTTTTTTTTTTTTAAGAATCTACCAATGAATGCATAAAAAAGTGGAACAACAAATTCATGTGTCTCGCTCCCTCTCTAAAACAAACAAATAAATGCGTGTCTGTCAATGTTGAGAAAAAAGACTAGAAGGAAATTGACCAAACTTTAACAGAGGTTCCTGTTAACATGTAGTTCCTGAGCCTTTTTTTGTTTCTTAATCCCCATTGGAGGACATATATTATTGATTTTAGAGACGGGGGGGGGGGGGAGAGAGAGAGAGAGAGAGAGAGAGAGAGAGAGAGAGAGAGAGAGATAGAGGGAGGAGGGAGAGGGAGGAGGAGGAGGAGGAGAGAGAGAGAGAGAGAGAGAGAGAGAGAGAGAGAAACAGACATCAATTGATTGCCTTCCGTATATACCCTGACTGGGGATCAAACCTGCAGCTTAGTTATGTGTCCTGACAGGCAATCGAGCCCACAACCTTTTGGTGTACCGGGCGATGCTCCAACCAACTGAGCCACACTGGCCAGGGCTTCCTGAACCATTTTGATGTGAGTTTTATAATAAAGTTCTTGAATTTTGGATCATTAGCAAGTAATCCTCTTCCAAGTAAAAAAATAAAATAAAATGGAAAGATCACAGCTCTTACAGCAAAGCCTGGGCAGTGGGGTTCTCTGGGTGGGGAAGGCCTGTACCTCCAGGTCCCAGAACCCCCCTCTCCGGGGGGGGCCTCACCTGGACGTCGCTGACGGCCCGCATGTAGTGGGCGCCGTCGGGCAGGTGCACAGCCAGCTCGGCCTCGTAGGCCCCTTCCCCCTCGTTGGCTGCGTCGATCTTTAGCTCCAGCACATTATCGGCTCCGATTAGGAGCGGGGTGTTCTTCCTGGAGGGGGAAGGAGTGAGAGGCTGTGTCCAGGCCCAGGGTCCGGGAGGAGGAGGGGCGAGGCAGCGTGTGGGTGTGTGACACCCCCGGTGGGGAGGAGGTGTCATGGGCAGGCGGGCCGGGGAGGGCAGGGGGGGGGGTCTCACAGGCTGGCGGCGAGCTGAAGCTGGGGCACACACAGGTCGTCCTCCCCGCAGTCCAGGATGATGCGGGTCTGGGGGGCACATGAGGGCATGGGGGTAAGTTGGGGGCAGGTGAGGTCAGGGGATGAGGAGATCTGAGAACGAAGGAGTGTTGAGGTGACCTCGGGGCTTTGGGGTTTGGGATGATGTCATGGTTTAGGTGGTGACACCAGAGTTTATATCAGAGTTTTGGGGTGACGTCAACCCTTGGGGTTTAGGGGACATTAAAGTGTTGGGGTTTCCATTAGGGTTTAGAGCGACGTTAGAGATTAGAGGCGACATCCAGGTTTTGGGGTTCATGTGACCACTTGGACACTAACCCTAACCCTGACTGTCTGGCAGGGGTCCTTTCCCTCCCTGGACTGAGCCTGCCCCCCTCCTCCCCCACCTGCTCCTGGACGTGGGTGTCTCCATGCAGCACAAGAGCCGGCGCGAGTCCATCCGCCTCCGGCTGCAGGGATACGTTGACGCTGAGCACAATGGGGCTCAGCTTGTCCCGGAAGTCGGCCTCGTCCTAGGGAGGGGACAGGAATCAGGCCATGGTGCTACCGTGTTCCCTACCGCTGACCGCCCCCGGGCCGCAGCGCCCAGCCGGTACCGAGCAGCTCGCACACCCAGCCCCGCCCGTGCCCGGCCCGTACCCGGAGGAAGGCCGTGGTGGTGTGGCAGATGGGGCTGAGCCTGCCTCCCAGGTCCAGGTGCAGGGTGGTGCCCGCCTGCTGGGAGTTCAGCAGCAGCACCCTCCGGCCCTGGCGGGGCTTCTGCCGGTCCAGCTGCAGCTCGGCGTTCAGGCCTGGCAGGGCCGGCAGGGAGGGTCAGGGTCTCCCCGGCCAGCCTCCAGGGGCGCCCGGCCGCCTCCCGCCTGCGCCCACCCTGCCACTCACGCAGCTTCTGAGGAACGTTGTGTCCGGTGGCTCCGACACACACCTGGATGTTAAAGCTGCAGAGACGTGAGTGGGGCTCAGGGGTTTGGGCCCCTTAGGTCCCAGATCCCGCCGGGCCCTGCCCTCCGTCTCCTCACCAGCTCACGGGTGTCTTGGTCTTGGGCAGGACACAGTCCTTCACGGCAGGATTCAGCGAACCTTGCACCAGCAGCTGCACAGTGGCCTTCACCACCGGCTGAGCTCTGTTGGGAGGGGGTTGGCTTGCTGTTGTGGCCCTTCCTGGCCTCCTGCCCACCCCATCCCCGGGGTCAGGGCTCACCTGTACACAGCCACCCGGTCAGCCCCATATGCGCCCACCAACAGGTCTGCGGATGTTGGAAGGAGGTCAGAATTGGTCAGCAGAGAGGGCATGAAGTCCCCATCTCCCCAGGGATTCCCAAATCACTTCCCCCCTTGGAGGTTTGACCACCCCCCTCTCTGGCATCCCTGCCCCATAGATGGGCCAGAGCTCGCAATGGGGCACAGGCCCCTGGCTGTGTCTCCTGGCATCTCCGGCGAATGCTTGCGGGCTCTCTTTGTTTAGCGGGAGGCGTTCCCGGGCACCTGGGTATCCATTGTCATCGATGTCTGCGGCGCCTCGCAGGGAGAAGCCGAAGCCGGAGCCCGAGGAGAAGGGGCTGTCCAGGACCTGGGAGGGGCGCGGGCTGAGCCCCTCGCTCTGACCCAGGAACACCTGCACTTGGCCCCGACCACTGGGACCCCCGTAGGGGGCGGCCACGGCAACATCTGGAAGGAACAGCAGAAAGAGAGGGGGCTGTTTGTCCCCAGTCTCCCCAGGTGGCCCCGTAAACTTCCAGGAGCTCTTACACTGGGCAGACCCCAGTGGACCAGGGGAGAGATACAAAGATCTGGGTCAAGAAGGCAGTTGCCTTATCTAGTTTGGCTCAGTGGATAGAGCATCGATCGAGCTGTGGACTCAAGGGTCCCAGGTTCGATTCTGGTTGTGGGCACATCCCCAGTAGGGAGTGTGCAGGAGGCAGCTGATCGATGTTTCTCTCTCATCAATGTTTCTTTTCTTCTCTTATATATATATATATATATATATATATATATATATATATATATATATATGTATATATATATATATATATATATATATATATATATATATATAATTGATATTTTTACAGAGAGGAAGAGAGAGGGATAGAGAGTCAGAAACATCAATGAGAGAGAATCATTGATCAGCTGCCTCCTGCACACCCCCCACCGGGCATGTGCCCGCAACCAAGGTACATGCCTTTGACCGGAATCGAACCTGGGACCTTTCAGTTCGCAGGCCAACGCTCTATCCACTGAGCCAAACCGGTTTCGGCTCATCAATGTTTCTAACTATCTCTTCCTTCTCTGTAAAAAATCAATAAAATATATTAAAAAAGAAGAAGGCAGCTGTCCTGCCCTTCAGGAGTTTACAATTGGGTCAGAGAGAGACCCATCAAATAGGATTATTATAAAAACAGTAGCCTTAGCTGGTTTGGCTCAGTGGAGAGAGCGTCAGCCTGCGGACTCAAGGGTCCCAGGTTCGATTCCGGTCAAAGGCATGTACCTTGATTGCAGGCACATCCTCAGGAGGGGGTGTGCAGGAGGCAGCTGATCAATGTTTCTCTCTCATCGATGTTTCTAACTCTCTGTCACTCTCCCTTCTTCTCTATAAAAAAATCAATAAAATATATATATTTTTTAAAAACAGAGAGAAGCAGCCCAACTCTTTTACTATAATTCCACACGCTCCCATCTGACCTTGGAATAGTTGTCCCTCCTGGGCCCTGCTGCTGGGCTTAGCATCCCACCCACATCCCCCGGGCATTGAGGGGACCCTCCTCCAGCTCTCTCTTCCATCCTCCGTTTCCCCACAGATCACTTTCCTTCTCCATACTCTGAAATTAAAACAGCCTTCCCTTGACCCTCCTTCTCCTTTCAGTAATTTTTCTTTTTCTTTTTCACAAACTGGTTGAAGGAGCTGTTTGCACTGGCTGCCTCCAATTCTCCATTTCCATTCGTACGTTGCCCCCTGGCGCTTTGGTTTCTGTCCCTGCCCAGGCCTGAGTCAGTTCTTGTCGCTGTCGTTGTCGCTGTCGCTGTCGCTGTCGTCAGCAACCTTCTTGTTAAAACCCACCGATACTTCTCCAGCCCCATCGGACTGCACCTCTCAGAAACACCTGGAGCCTCTGACCTCCTTCCTTCTGCTTAGAGGACGCTCTTCCTTTGCGTTTGGGCCATCAGATCTTGTTTTCTCCTTTCCCTCTGGACAGTCCTCTGTCTCCTTTCCAGACTCACTTCCTCTGGGAGGCCCCTCAGTGCTCTTGCTTCCCAGGGCTCGGGCCTGGGCCTCTCCTCACATCACAGGCTCCCAGGACCTCCCACCCCCCGCCCCTATTTCCCATTCAGACCTTTCTGGTGGAAGCTACACTCACCTGTGCTAGCCTATGTCTGCCTAATGGGGCAAGTCCTTCAGGACCGAACAGGTCCAGAGCTGAACTGCTGACACCTCCCATATCACCTCCCTAAATTTGCTGTCTAGCCTGAGGAGTTCCAGGCAGTGAAGGATCCCTCCTGCTCCCCCCGCCCCCCGCCCCCAATTCCTTTGCCTGGACGAATGCGAACAAATCCGAGTCTGTTTGCTTGAAACTCTCCCTGGCTCCTGAGGCCTCAGGTCCGAACCACGGACCTCACAGCCTCCAGGCAGCAGGGGGCCCGCTCCTCTCTTACCGTTGTAGCCATCCCGGTTGAGGTCTCCCAGAGGCGCGATGGCTGAGCCAAATCGCCCATAGAGCTGGGTGCCAGTCAGGAGGAGGCTGGGGGCGCCCAGCGGGTGGGAGCCCCGAGGCTGCAGGAACAGGTACACGCGCCCCACCTCGGCCAGCTTGCGGTCCGCACGGCTGTCCATGTACAGGGGTGCACCCACCAGCAGGTCGTGCCTCCTGCGGGCCGCGCGGTTGCGGTTACGTGGGGGTGGGGAGGGGTGAGGATGGAGTGGGGGGATGGGGGTGGAGGAGGAATAGGTGGGGTAGGGGTGGGGGGTGAGGATGGAGTGGGGGATGAGGGTGGGGTGGGGGAGGGGTGGGGAGGCGGTGGCTAGGGGATGCTCAGGGCCAGGCCACCGGGAGTGAGGGCTGGTGGAGGAGGAGCCTAGGGCGGTTCAGACTCTGGTAACGGGGGACTCGGCTGGGTAGGGTTGGGGCGCCCCTCCTCACCCATCCCCGTTGACGTCAGTGACGGCCACCGAGTGCCCGAAATACGAAGCCACCTGCAGGAAGAAAGGCGAGACGCCCCTTAATTCCCGCCCAGACCCCCTCCCTCAGTCATCGCCCGCACCCCGCGGCGTGTCCTGGGCCCGCCCGCTTCGGGCCCCGTGGGGAGGGCCGCACCTGCTCGCCGTGCACTCGGTGCAGCGTCTGGTGCGGCGTCCGGTGCAGCGTCCGGTGGTTCCAGCGCAGGACCTCCACCTGCGGGGGCGGCGGTGAGGGCGCCCCCCCCCCTCTCCCTCCCCCCGCCCCCCCCCGGGGCAAAGGGCAGAGGTGGGGGGCGGATTCAGGGCAGGGTCAGGGGGCACTCACGGCTCCCAGGGTCCAGCTCCAGGCGGGGGCGCCGAAGACATACTCTGGGGAGAGCGGCCCAGCCATGAGGTTTGGCCCCTGCCCCCCGCCATCCCCTCCCGGGGGGGGGGGTGCTCCTCCCGGGCTGGGCCCCCCGGCCCCGCCCCTAAGGGGGCTCTTGCCTGTGGTGTTGAGGTTCCCGTCGAACTCGCCCACGGCCACCGAGTACCCTGAAGGCACAGAGCCATTGGCTTTTGGAGGGCAAAGCGGGGAGGGAGGCGCTCAGACCCCCCCTCCCTCCCGTGCAAAGCTGCTGTGTGCGCGGGCGGGGGGCGGGGGAGGCCGAGCCCTGGGGCGGGGGGGGGGCAGAGGCTGGGCCGCCTGGGGCGCGGGGCGGGCGGGCGGGATGGCGGGGAGGGGGACCCGGAGTGCCGGGCCCCGCGGGGGGCGGGGGGCGGGGGTGGGAGTTGGGCGGATTGGGGTGGATGGGGGGGCGGGGGCGGGCAGAGGCTGGGCCGCCTGGGGCGCGGGGCGGGCGGGCGGGATGGCGGGGAGGGGGACCCGGAGTGCGGGGCCCCGCGGTGGGGCGGGTACCCCGGTAGCCATCGAAGAACGCGGGGTCGCTGGAGTCTACGGTGAGGTTCTGGGTGCCCACGTGCCACAGGAGGGTGCCGGGGCGGTAACTCTGGAAGATGTCCGCGATGGGAGCCCGCGCCAGGAGGCCTGGGGTGTGGGTCAGGGGTGTGAGCTTCCGGGGTCCCCCCAGGCCGAGGGGGAGAGAGAGAGAGAGAGAGAGAGAGAGAGAGAGAGAGAGAGAGAGAGAGACGAGTAGAGCGATTAAGAGGAGAGAGAGAGAGAGAGAGAGTAAGAGAGAGAGAGAGAGGGAGAGGGGAGAGAGAGAGAGAGAGAGAGAGAGGAGAGAAGACAGAAAGAGGGAGCGAGAGAGAAGGGAGAGAGAGAGAGAGAAGGGGAGAGAGAGGAAATTTAGATCAACAGAAAAGAGGGAGGATTCTAGAGAGAGAGATTTGACCGGGGCACGAGTGGGGTTACGGGAGATACACACACACCTCCCAACATACCAAGAAAAGTCCGCCGGGGGCCCGAGCCACTCTCTGCTCCCAAAGGAAATAGCCAGTGTTAGTGCCCTGCTGGGATCGCCCCCCTCCACCCCCCCGACGGGCTCGCTCCTTGCCTGGGTGACGGCTGCGCTGAAGCCCGCTTCACAGTAGCGCTTGTCTTCCCCTGGAGGGCGGGGGAGGGTCACCGGGGGCGTGGGAGGGTCACCGGGGGCGGGGGAGGGTCACCGGGGGCGGGGGCGGGTCACCGGGAGCGGGGGGAGGGTCACCGGGGGCGGGGGAGGGTCACCGGGGGCGGGGGGAGGGTCACCGGGGGCGGGGGCGGGTCACCGGGAGCGGGGGGAGGGTCACCGGGGGCGGGGGAGGGTCACCGGGGACGGGGGGAGGGTCACCGAGGGCGGGGGAGGGTCACCGGGGACGGGGGGAGGGTCACCGAGGGCGGGGAGGTCACGAGGGGGGGCGGGGGCAGGGTCTCCAGCGGCGGGAGGTGGAGCTGCGCTGGCCCTAGCCGGGTGGCTCAGTGGGTTGGAGCATCCTCCCCATTCGCCAAGATTTCCGGTTGGATCCCGGTCAGGGCCATACAAGAACCAACCAGTGAATGCATAACTAAGGGGAGCAGCACACCGTGATTGCCTCCCGGTCTTTAAAACCAACCAGTAAAATAACAAAAAGTAAACTCTTGCCCGGGCGGGGCGGGGCCCGGGATGACAGAGGGCGGGGTCAGGGTGACAGGGCGGGACCAGGAGTGACAGAGGCGGGGCCAGGGGTGACAGGGGGCGGGGTCAGGGTGACAGGGCGGGACCAGGGGTGACAGGGGCGGGGTCAGGAGTGACAGGGGCGGGACCAGGGGTGACAGAGGGCGGGGTCAGGGTGACAGGGCGGGACCAGGAGTGACAGAGGCGGGACCAGGGGTGACAGAGGGCGGGGTCAGGGTGACAGGGCGGGACCAGGAGTGACAGAGGCGGGACCAGGGGTGACAGGGGGCGGGGCCAGGGGTGACAGGGGCGGGGTCAGGAGTGACAGAGGGCGGGGTCAGGGTGACAGGGCGGGACCAGGAGTGACAGAGGCGGGACCAGGGGTGACAGAGGGCGGGGTCAGGGTGACAGGGCGGGACCAGGAGTGACAGAGGCGGGGCCAGGGGTGACAGGGGCGGGGTCAGGAGTGACAGGGGCGGGACCAGGGGTGACAGGGGGCGGGGCCTTGGCTGCAGGTGGCGGGCGGGTGGAGGGCGCGGCTCGGAGCGGGCAGTGCGCCGGCCGCGGAGGGAAGGCCAGGGGCGCTGGGAGAGGGTCGGGAATGAGGGCCGGGCCAGGTGGCGGGGTTGGGAGAGCGGAGCTCACAGTAATTTTTTTTATGGTGGTCCCGGCTCATGGTGTTGTCCCGGCACGGCGAGAACTCGGCGCGGCCGGCGCTCTGCAGCTGCGCCAGGAAGCAGCCTCCCACGGGCGTCTTCTCGGCCTCCTCCGTCTTCTCCACCACGTTCCAGTGCAGCCAGGGCGCGCAGGCCTGGGGCCGCGGGCGTGGGAAAGGCGGGACAAGGGTTCCATGTGCCCTCCCTCCCAACATGTCCCTGCCCCCCACCACTCCGGGCCTCCCGACCCGCGCTGCCCACCACAATGTAGTCCTTCCAGCTGACGACCGACGCCCCCAGTCCTTGCCCGGCCTTGAAGGTTTGGAAAGTCTGGGAGTCCACTTTCCGGGTCTCATCATCTGGAGGGCACAAGAGGGACGGGGCGTGGCAGCCCGGCTGCCCACGCTCCCTCTGGCCCCTCCCTCGCCCCCCTGGCCCGGGACTCACTGAGATCGAAGAGCAGAGGAGAGCACGGGGCGCCCTCGGCCCGCCAGGGGCACAGGAACACGCCGCCGGTCTCCTCTTGACTGCGGCCCTGGACCCGCGGGGCGCCCACCGCGATGGCCACGCTGTGCAGGAAAGCTGCGTGAGCACGGAGCGCGCTCCGGGCACCCACGTCCCAGTGACCCGCAGGAAGCACTCCCCTGAAGGGGGACACTGGATCCCATTTCCTTAAAGAGATTTCAGACCCTAGAGGCCAATCTTTTCACTTTATGGTCCATGAAATCGATTCCCAGAGGGTAAATGACATGCCCCCAAACCCAGAGAGTTAATGGAAGGCTGGATTTGGTATTAATTCAAGGGGTTTGATATCCTTGCTGAAAAAGACATCCTAAGCTCCGCATCCTCCCCCCCCCCCCCCCACACACACACAAAAAAAAAAAAGCCAGGGGGGTTTATGAGTCTTGGAACCTTAAACTGTTACCAGATGCCTTTTGAGAGCTAGGTTTTTTTTTTGTTTTGTTTTTTCTGTTAATCCTCACCTGAGGATATTTTTCCATTGGTTTTTAGAGAGTGTGGGAAGGGGAGACACACACACACACAGAAACACTGATGTGAGAGATACACTTCAACCGATTGGTTACCTTCCACCAGGGCCTGGGATGGAGCCTGCAACCCAAGGTACCTGCCCTTGACCTGAACTGAAGGTCAAGGGAAGCTAGTGGGTATCTCTAAAGGAGCGGGGGGTGGGGGTGGGGGTGGTGGTGGTGGTGGTGGTGGTGCTGATATTGCTGAGGGCCCTAGTAGATCTAACCACAGCTCTGCCATATGAAAATTGGGGACAATACCAACCAATTAATGCTTCTAGAAGTAAGTGAAGTAAATGTATGAGGGATTCAGCATGGTACCAGCCAAATAACTCATAATGGCTGCTCAAAAAATATGCTGAATAATGAGGGATGTTTAAGTAGTGCCTATGAAACCACTAGCTGTGGATAGAAGGAGAAAAGCAAAAGTGGCTGGAGGAAGGAGTTAGGTTGAGTGACAGCCACGGCCACACAAATATCCTGGGAGCTCTGGTACCAGAAGGACCCTTCGGAACTCTTCCCAGTTCAGGTGAAAGGGTTGGACCCTTACGCCTCTCACCTCCCTCCATATTCCTCATCGGTCAGTCCTTAGCCACAGGTCACAGTGGGAAGGGGACTGGACTTTGGGGGAGGCAGCTCTCTTCTGCAGAGGAAGTCCACCAAGGGGCTGACACTTGAATGCTGTCTGCCAATGCCACTCCCCAAAGCTGGGGCGCACCGTGTCGACCACGGTAAGGAACCAGCTCAGGTTCCTCCTATTATACAGAGGAGGAACCAGGACTCTCATCTTGGCAATCTGACCTCACAGCCTGATTAACCCCAAGCCCAATATTCTATTGCTTCTTTTCAACGATCTATCATTTTTTGGGGAGGAGGGAAATGGAGTAGAAAAGCAAGGTGGGTAGATCATTTTGCAGTTCTGCAGGTCAGTTTAAGACCTGCACACTCCTCTCTGTGTTTAGAGGAGATGGCAGTGGAGTGGGTCATACAACTGACCCTTGGAGGAAAGAATAAGGTACCAACTTTTGTTCTGCCTTTGCTTTTGCTGTAGTTTCAATGTCTAACTCCTCTTCGGTGCCCCCTTCATACACCCTCACCTGAGCAGCTTCCTCCCAGGATTCCTAACAAGAACTCAGCACAAATAGACCCTAGAAGTCACTTTGCCCAACCTCTATCACACATGGGGACTTGAGGTCCACAGAAGCAGTAATGGTGGGAGAATCTTTCTCCCAACACCCACACTCCCCCAGGCTTACCTCCCATGGTTGTCCTTGTAGAAGTCCAGAGAAAACCCAAAGTGGCTGCCATTGGGGCCTGTGTAGAAGGTGAGCCGCTCTGGGTCCAGGTTCAAGGCCCAGGCTGCAGGGGCAGCACCGGGTCCCCAGAGCACCTGCACCCACTCCAGAAGCCAGAGGGCATGAAGTGGACACAAAGCTCTTGCCATCTTCCTTCTCCCTCAACCTCCTTGGGAGGAATGGACTAACTCCTTCCTCTTCCTTTCAGTTTCCACCACAGGAAGTCTTTTCTTATCAAATGTACTGAACAGGGCAGTTGGCCCTGGACCCATTTGGTTTCTAGGATTGCCAGGAAGGGAAGGGGGTGAGGCCACTTTGGGGGTGGATGCTGAGGGCTGAAAGCCACTACTCCTCCCTTTTCCTGAGAGTAGTTTATCACCAAGTCTTGTTGGTTGGTTCTGCCTCTCAACTATGTCTCAGGAATCTTCATGCCATTTCTATGGCCACCATGCAAATCTTCACACCATTTTACTATCCCATCAGGGCTTTCTGCTTGAGAGGGTAAAACCATGAACTAGCTGGTCTGTACACCTCCACTCCAGCTCAGTTCTATGGCCCCTCTTCCTCCCACACAGCTGCCTGCACTACTGTGGCACATAATGACTTGGTTAGTGGTGGGGGTAGGAGTAAGGAAGCTGCTGGCTCCTGATAAGACCTGGGCTGCTGTATCCTCTTCGATAAGGCACCTATCCACTTCCTTTTAGGGCCTTGGGCAGCTTCAGTCAGTCATATTGGTGCAGGAGCTCCCTCACCCTTCCTCCACCTCAGGCCAAGTCTTAATGTGGTCAAACAGTGCAGCCAGGGCTGGGGAGGGGATGGCAAATGGATGTTGGTCGAAGGGCTAAGGGAGACGGGGATGAAGTGGAGTCAGATCAGGGTGTTCTGGCTCAGAGGCTTTGTGATTATGCACCAGCTGTCCAGTTGAAAGCAGGCCCCTTCACTCTTTCTGGTGAGAGCTCTTGTCCAATCATCAAGAACTGATTCTAGTGGGGTCACTGCCAATGGGAAGCCTCCTCCAACTTTTCAGGCTGGCACCCTGGAACTGACACACAGTTTATCATGGCCTGTTCATTTCATCGTGTCCATGAATCCCTGGAGAGCAAGGTTCTTTACTGCAGCCTGGAGTCTAGCCGAGAGCCCAACTTGGAATAGGTATTGCTGACAGACTGAATGGAAGCGTGCACTGAGCATTGGAAGATGCAAACATGGAAAGGGAAGGAATAGTTTTGAGTAGGAAGGCAAGGTCATTTTCTGTGGATGTGAGAAGAGGAGTGCCAAGTCTTATTGACGTCTCCTCCCAAAAACAGGTTCTCAGGAAGGAAATTTAAGATCTGCCAAGGCACAGGAACATGGCCATTCTCTTTTGCTCTATTTTCTGATCAATTGCAACCATCTTATCTTGGAATCTCCCGATTCACCACCTCAGCACACAGCTCAAAATCCTGCCCCTTACTAGGCTAGAAGCTCTTTAAACTTTAGTCCAGGCCTTCTTCACTGCTGATTTCTCAGTCCCAGGACCACAGTAGGCATGTAATGCATCTATTAGAATGAATACTTAACTCAGTTTTATACTTACCTACCACCTTCCCACTATCCTCTACTGAGCAGCACTGTAATTACTGGTGTATACTGCGCGGCCCCAAATTAAGTCACATGTCACTAAAGTTTTTAATAAGTATTTATTCTGTTCAAGGCACTGAGTAGTAAGGGATACAAAGGCCCCTTACCAAGGATCTTTAAAGAGAGATTTAAGACATGAACACACAACTGCAGTAGAGGAAGAGTAAAGCATGCCTTGAAAAGGGTGGAGATTATGTCTAGCTGAAATCATTTATATCATATGCTACTCATAACAACTCCTATGAAATAGGTAGTATTATGCCCATTTCATAAATGCCAAAACTGTGGCACAGAGTTACAGGCAAATTGCCCAAGTTTGCATGGCCAATGTGTGAATCCAAACATGTTTGTGCTTAAATTCATGTTTGTTTCTAAAGGATTTTATTTCTTGGTTAATCCTCACTCACCCGAGGATATTTTTCTCATTGATTTTCAGAGTTGGAAGGGAGGGGACGAGACAGAGAAATATTAATGTGAGACACATTGGTTGCCTCCCAAATGTGCCCCAGGGATTGAGCCTGCAATTGAGGTATGTGCCCTTGACCGGAATTGAAACCCAGGACACTTTAGTCTGCAGGGTGACGTTCTATCCACTAAACCAAACAGGCCAAGGCTAAAATCATGTTTTTAAAAAAGTATTTTTATTGATTTCAAAGAGGAAGAGGGAGAAACATCTATGATGAGAATCACTGACCAGCTGCCTACTGTACGCCCCCTACTGGGGATCTAGCCCTCAACCCAGGCATGCGCCCTTGACCGGAATTGAACTGGAGACCCTGAGTCCTCAGGCCAATGCTTTATCCAGAGCCGAACCGGCTAGGGCTAAAATCATGCTCTTATTCATTACACTCTTGTCAGAAAATGGAGTTCTAGGCACTCTCTTTTAAGAGAGGCAGGACATAAAGGTCAATTATAGGGAAGGGCCTTGGGCATGAGGACATTAGGGTGGAATGGAAGGCTGGGGTCAACAACTCAAGGTCCTTGAATGCCTTATAAAGGAATTTGAACTTTAATCTGGAGAATATGGAGAATCATAAAGACTTTTCAAGTCTGACAATAAGAGATATATTTGTAATTGTGCTCTGATTTGGACAATTACACTGACTGTGGATAGAAGGAACTGGAAAAGGCAGAACTTACTGAAAAGATCAGATGGAGTGCAACTACAATCCTCTTAGTTAAAGGTGATGGGAGAGGCTTAAACCCAGGAACGGATGGCAGGAACGAGACAGCAGAGATTACATGATCAGTAACTGGCTGTGGTGGGAAAGTGAAGTAACTCGGAGCTTTGGTGCCTTGTTGGCTGGTAGAACAATGGTAACAGTGACTAAAATTGGAAACAGGTGGAGCATCAGCGTTGGGAAGGGAGTGTGGTATTCAATAAGAATTCTGTTCTTCAGGTGTTCTGCAGGGGTCAGAACTGGCTTAATCTCCTTTCTGAGATTGTAGGCAGGAGTGCTGCTGACACACTGCTCCCACTTTCCCATCAGCCACCAGGGTGCTAGAATCCCTCAATGAATACTAAGTTCTGTTAAGACGTCATTTAGTCCACAATTATTGAACGCCTATTAGGTGCTGGCACTGAGCTAGGTGATGTGGACATAAAGAAAAACATTTTGTCATCTTTGGTTTCCTTTCTAAACCCTGATGCATAATCTTCAGTAGTATTTTATTTTGTTCAAATCTTCCTTGGACATATAATCAAAATGTTTACTATGTGTTCAACTCTGTAAAACACTCTTAAGGAAATGGTTGGCCAACTGGGGCTTGTGAGCCACATGCGGCTCTTTGGCCTCCTGAGTGTGGCTCTTCCACAAAATACCATGGCCTGGAAGAGTCTATTTTGAAGTGGCATTAAAAGTTTAAAAAATTTGGCTCTCAAAAGAAATTTCAATCATTGTTCTGTTGATATTTGGCTCTGTTGACTAATGAGTTTGCCAACCACTGCTCTAAGGAATTAAGAAAAAAAAAAAAAGTATAAGAATTAAACCCCATCCTCCAAGAACTTATAATTGTATTGCGAAGCAGTGAACACAAAATGAACTGCACTCAGATCCTGAAAAGCCAGTAAGCTTACATGGGACCGGGAATTATATCCCAAGAGTCAGGGAGGTCAGCCAGGAAATACAGCAAACATTCAGACATGAACTGATAAGGAGGAAGTGAAGGTGTCTCTGGTAAATAAGAATGGAAATGGCTCACAGGCCTGGGTTTGCCACTGAGGATACAGAAGAGGCATATCCACGCTGCAAGCCCAGGTGCCTGAGGCAGGCACTCTGTCTACAGGCCAGTCTGTTTCTTTCACTGGCACCTTGCCTACTCAGAACATTACTTTTCATAAAAAAATAATAAATTAAAAATACACACACACACACACACACACACACACACACACACACACACACACATATATATATATATATATATATATATATATATATATATATATATATATAAATTTTTTTACAGAGAGGAAGGGAAAGGGATAAAGAGTTAGAAACACTGACCAGCTGCCTCCTGCACACCCCCTACTGGGGATGTGCCCGCAACCAAGGTACATGCCCTTGACCGAATCGAACCTGGGATCCTTCAGTATGGAGGCTGCCACTCTATCCACGGAGCCAAACCGATCAGGGCATACTTTTCATTTTTTAACATCCTTTCTTTCTGGGCAGGAATTTTGCTATTTTAGGAAAATAGGCAGATCTGAGCATCCAACCCAAGGTCCATGTTGAATAGCTTCTCTTCAGTCCAGGGGAGAACACAGCTGTTATGAGTAGGAAAGAAATGACATTGTACTCCTCCTTCACGAAAGGCTGAGAGAGAGGAAACTAATTTATTCCTGCGAATCTATGGTTAGCTTTGATGCCAAACTTTCTCTTTTGTGACTTTTAGATACAGCAGAGCTTTTATCAGCTCAGTAACAGGCCTATTCCTTTCACCAGGTAGCTCTCAAGTTCTGTCCTGTATTAAAGGGTCGAGGAGAATAATTCAAGGCCGGTTCTGGTACAGAACTACATCTGGAGGGCAAAGGCCAGGCACATGACTCTTGTTAATTCCATTGCCCTAAAGTTTATCCAAAATCCTGAAAATCAAACTCAGAAATTCCAAACCCACTTACTTATCGAGCACCTACATACCATACATTGTATTACACACAGATTACATAACTAGAGGAAGTAAGGCAGAAATAGAAAATTCTTGTGGGAAAGAGTGGAAAAGGGGTGCACATTGCAAAGCACCTACCCAAGACTGAGAAGCGTTACTGTATGCTCTTCCACATCGCCATCTCTCTCTACCCGGGCAGCCCGAGCTCTGAGCAGCGCAATTCCAAACATCACAAAAAACCGGTTCTCAAGAGTCTGTCCCTTGATCACTTCGAACAATTTGTTATTTGTAACCCTTAACTCCATCCCTTCCCAACTTGAGTGGATGGGGCAACAATCACAACAGACTCTGCTACGTTTCCACAAATCATTGGTTTATTAGAAAGTTCCTTTCCCTAATTTTACAGCATATATATCTCTATCAAATGCGATAAAGTTAAATACAATCTGATATGCTTGTAAGGAAGGATAGGCTACCTTGTTTTTCTTTACTGTTTTTTAAAGTTTTAAAATCACTATTCTGAAAGTTAAAGAAAACTGCCCCCAGAAAGGCAGAGGCAGCCAGAGTATGGCTCAATCTACAAGCTAATGGGAAGGGAAATAGCACAAAAATGTTAATACTGTATTATTTAAATTATTTACATGGGCTGAAAGCAAAGAAAAATGAGTCCCTTCACATCAAAGACGTTTCATTTTTCCAGTGCTAGTCATCAAAAATGAGGCTTCTGAACCGTGAGGAGCATGAAACAGGTAGGAGGCCGAGTCCAGAGCCTCGTTTGCCCAGCACTTGCTTCTCATAAACACAAAACCCTTTTCATTTGGGAATTCAAGAAGAAAGGCAGAACACAGAGCCTTGCCCAGGTAAGTAGGGTTTTCAGATGACCAATTCTAGCCACAGGAATAGGCATGGAAATGCCAAACGGGGATCTGCTAATTACACCAAAGAAGGTGAGAACTGCAATACAAACACTTCTGGGTCAGTGTGTTCGTCAGGGCTATAAGCCCAGGTGAAAAGCAAGAAGAGGAAGAGGAACCGAGGTGGTATTTCCTCTGGTTCGTACCATGGTGTCACAGAAGAGAAAAGGAATCTTTACTGCTTACGCTCAACTGGGCTGAAGGCATGGAAACTATGAAGCAACAGAATGTGCAGGATCTATAATGTGCTCATGTCCCAACAAGAGGAGGAAGAAAACGGAACTCTACCATCGCCCCGTCTACTTCTACTTGTTTCTAGCTAACCAAAAAGGCACATTAAAAAAAAAAAATTATCAGAGGCGGCGAAGTACTAGGAAGGCAAATGGACTGCCTAGAACAAGGCATCAGAAACCCCCAATCACTCTCTCACTGCTTTCAAATAAAGCTCCTGAACGTTTTCCTCCTTTGTGGGCCCACCTGTTTCTCTGTAAAAAACAAAACAAAGCGTATGAAGGAGACTGCCATAAATGAGTATTCCTGAACCCCCCAGCTGAGTGATGCCCATTACTTCAAAAACCCCAGTGTGGGGGCACCACTTAATGCAAATTACTGAACATTTTGTCCCAGCAAAAATGTTAAACAATGTTCCTTTTTTGCCCTAACATTTTTATAGTTCATAACTTCAAAAAATACATGAGTTTGATAAAATATACATGCTTAGTCATTTTTGCATCTAGCAGAAAACAAATACTTTATTTTTTGCTTTCATCTTATAACTTTTAGTTTCTTAATTCAACTAGGCAAACATATTTACACAAAGCCACCAGAACAAGGATCACTTAAAGAGCTAGATGTAAAAAATATTATTGCAGTATACTACAAATATGGAACCTTTTTTATGAGCTACAAAAAGCAGCATTTGCGTTTATAGAGTTCAGTGCAATTTTTTTTTTTACGTTAAAAAAATCCTATAAATTAAGAAGGAAACATCAACATGACAGAAGAAAATACACCCTTCAGACATACAAGCTCCTCTCTGGGGAAGCACATGAAAACTGTGTTCCGCGTAGCTTGTAATCATGATAGGATCTTCTTTTCTGGGGGAGTCCGATGTCTCTTCTGGGATGAAGGACACGAGGACATCAGTGCCAAACGTGTGGCTCTTTATGTGGGAAGTGGATCCAAAAACAGAGTAACATCTGATTCCAGGTCTGACTCCCTTTCCACCTCACCCAGGATAACACAAGGTCACCAAGGGATGGTCAGACACTGGGAAGGCAGGATCAGATGGACAACCCGCCGGCCAGAGAGGATGAAAGGTTTTTAAATTTATAGAAGGGAAGAGTGGAGGTTAAACAGTAGAGGGAGGGGAGTATATAAATGTGACCATCTGGAAATGTTGCTGCAGAGGGGCGGGTAGCACTTACTGGTGTTTCCCAGCCTGGAAACACAGGAGGGGGAGGGATACAAGGAAAATGGGGGAAATCCCTGATAGTGAACCCAAAGCAAACCTCAAATCTAAAACCACCCCTGCAAGCCAAAACTTAATTCTTTGGCTATCAGACACTGCCCGTCC